CAACCAAACCCAACCAACCTAACCCAACCAACCAAACCCAACCTACCAAACCCACCAAACCAAACCAACCAAACCCAACCCACCAAACCCAACCCGCCAAACAACCCACCACACCCTACCAACCAAACCCAACCAACCAAACAACCAACCCAACCAACCAAACCCCAACCCAACCAAGCAAGCAAGCCACAACCAAGCAAGCAAGCCACCACCAAGCAAGCAAGCAAGCAAGCAAGCAAGCAACCAAGCAACCAACCAACCAACCAACCTGCGAAAATCCAGAAGTGTCAGTTACTGACCAAACAAGAAGTCACAACCTGAAGTATTCACCAGGCTCAACCCTGAAGTTCACTCTGAGCAGCTGAAGTCCTCTTTCCTCGTCTTGAGCCAAAGTAAGAAGTGTGAAGTACTGTGCATAGGTGTGTGGAAGTACGTGTGTCTTGACACGCTCCCTTGAAGTGATGCACCATTGCATCAGTTCACACCTGAAGTTGAACATGCTTCATCAAGAAGTCTTAAATTCAGACCCTGCGTACTATGAAGTGTGATTCGTGCCTGTACGAAGTATGAGGGATTAGGCTAGAGCAAGATGGAAGTGAGCTATGCCAAGCTGAGCGTCATTGAGGTCAGCTGCATGAAGTTGTCATCATCACAAATTGCAGCAAAAGAAGTTGAGATCTGAAAATGAATTCTGAAGTCTTGCAAAACTTGTCTTGCCAAAATGGCTGAAGTGAAACACGACTGTCCTGAAGTCTACAACTTTGCCCTTCTGGACCTCAACACTAGAAGTTGGTCAACTAACCAGTCTTCTTCTCGTGCAAGGGTGAAGTTCCATCCTCTTCCAAGGTAGAGGTGCATGAAACGGAAGTGATGAGTCCTTGGGTGAAGTGACTGATGTTGTGGACACACAGAGAAGAGCGCAGTAGCCAGAGTCATAGAAGCAAACCGTGGCAAACCGAAACAGCGCATAGTGGATTTTTCGAGCTCACTGAAGTTGTAGCTTCCAGTGATGTGAAAGAAGTAATCCACGTACTGACGGTTCCACAATCGAAGTCCCCCGTTCTGAAGTTCTCTCCACACTCTATCAGTCTCAAGCTGAAAACATAGAAGTACCACAGGATCATGAAACCTCGAAGGAAGTGACTGAACCGTTCCACCAGCATGCAATGTGAGCCTGAAGTACCATCCACCGGCTCCAAGCCCCAAAGAGGAGCGCACTGCGCGGTGAAGTATGCAGGTTTGCCATACTTTCTCCATCTGGACAATTAGCTCCATCCAGAGAAGTCATAGCCACAAAGTGCCCTGAAGAGGCCAATGAAAGCTAGGTCATGCATGCCAAGAAGAATGTAGAAGTGTCCAGTCAAAGTCCATGCAAGAAGTGAAGCTGGGCCTTGAGGACGCTGAAGTGGAAACTCATCCACCATCTTGTACAGAAGTTGTTCCTCAGGAGTATTCATCATGACTTCTGACTCCTGGAAACAGACTCTCCTGTTTCGAAGTTGCAGCATCGTGTGGAAGTCCAGGTGAAGTCAACTGGACCTTGTTCCAAAAACTATGCAGAAAATGCTCTGGATTCAACTGCAGAATGAAGTGAGGGTTGTCATACGGTGGCATCACCGAAGTTTGCAGATCAGGACTCGAACTGAAGTCCAACCCTCTGTTCATACGCTGCGCCTGAAGTTGATCTTGAAGCCTCTGCTGCTGCTGAACCTCCTCATGTGTCTGGAAGTTCCGCCATGAAAGTGGTGGAATGCGTGGAAGTGCCTTTGCCATCTTAGGTGGCATGGTTTCACTGGTGCTCCACTCTTCAAACCTGAAGTCCGATGACGTAAGGGTCCGCCATCTGCAGTAAAGAAAGCAAATAGAAATGAAGTCGAGGCAGCCCACATTTGCCAATCAAGGCGTCCGGTTTGAAGTACCAGAATTGCAATCAGTTCGAAGTCCAGTCGCGACATGGCCACGAAGTGAAAAACATTTCAGGATGATTGAAACAAAAGCAGCGTCAAAGTCTCAGAATCGAAATTGAAGTTGCAAAACGGACGGCTCTCAGCACATGAAGTGAACGGCTTGCAGGAAAACGAAGTTACTAACCATGGCAAACTAGCTACCCGGGATGAAGTGAACCATAACTATCATACTCGGGAGCCTAAGTGAAGTGAAAAGCAACAACGACAACCAAGCCAAAAACAAAACACAAAAACCAACCAAAACCACAACCAGAAGTACCTGACACTTATACGTGTGAAGTATGTACACAATACGTGCTATACACGTGCACACATGCAAGAAGTAATTATAAGTTCTGTACCAGTGCAAAGTCGCAAAGTGCAAAGTTCTGTACTCCTGGCGTGCCTAAGGCAAAACACTAGAAGTTACTATGCGCCAAACTGGCGATCCATGTTCATGAAGTGTCTTCACAGCGCTCGACCCATGAGAGGGGATCCCAAGGGTTGACAGGTGTCTGTGAAGCACCTCCTTAGTGATGTACTTTGTCATCACATCAGAAGTGTTCAAGGTTCCAGCAACTTTCTTGATTGCCACGATGCCTGAAGTTACAAGTTCTTGGATAAACAAAAACCGAAGTTGCACGTGTTTGGTTTTCTTGGAAGTTCCGAAACGTGTTGCCATAGATTTGCCTGCGGTGCTGTCAGTGTGAAGTTTGATGTTGACCTTTTGCGCGATTTGTGATTCTAAAAGAAGTGAACGGATAAACAGGCCTTCGCTCGCACCTAGACCTATTGCGTACAGTTCTGCTTCGCCGGATGAAGTAGCTACTGTTTGCTGTGCTCTGCTTTGTGAAGTGATCAGGGTGCCAAGAAAGTACAATGCCATACCTGAAGTGCTGCGCCGAGTTGCAACGCAACCGGCCCAATCTGAATCTACAAAAAAATCGATGTCAAATGAAGTCTGCTTGGAGTGCGGAATCACCTTAGGACGAAGTTGCAAAACCGCTGGCTTTGTTCCAGCGAGATACCTTAGGAGTGTCTTCATCTTCACCAAGTGGTCCTTAGTGGGAGCAACAAGTCCTCGGGAAAGTTCCTTAGTCGCAAACTGAATGTCTGGTCGGATGTTGCTGAGCCACAGAAGTTGTCCAACAATTCGTCGATACAACTTGCGCTCGTCCTTTGAAAGAAGTTCTTCCGACTCAATCAACTTGCGAAGTGAATCCACACAAGGTGTGGCAGCAGGTTTACAGTTTGTCATGTCAAGTTGTTCAAGCATTTTGTCGATGTATGAAGTCGGCATCGACATCTCCATAGAATCATCGCGTCGAGTGATGCAACGACCCAAGAAGTTGATGCTTTTGCCTGACTCAAGAACACCTTCTTGCCTCAAACACAACTGCCTCTGAAGTTCTGCGAACAGATACTCACAGGATCCTTTCGGACCGAACAGAAGCAAGTCATCAACGTAACACAACATGTACACCTTGCGTGCCTCATGGAAGTACAAGTTTGAATCCGACTTCAGTCGCTTGAATCCAAGTGAAGAAGCAACAGAAACGAAGTGTTGTTGCCACATTTTTGGACTCTGCTTTAAGCCATACATTGCTTTGCGAAGTTTCCACAAAACGCCACCGTTCGGGTAGTATTCAACCGGAGGAATTACAAACACCTCATCAGTGAGAAGTGCATGCAAAAAGGCGGTTGAAACGTCACCTGCAATGACAAAGCAGTCAAACGCAATGGCAAGTGTCAACAACAAGCGAAGTGTGATGAGGGACGGCGTGCTGGCGTAAGTGTCGTCGGGGTCGACCTCTTGATCGAATCCACGAACGCACACGCGGCACTTGACCTCGCCGCCTTTTGGCCGTTTCACCCACTTTGTTGAAATGGCATTCTGAAGTTGCTCGGAAGTACATTCGGAAGTCAAGACCTCTTCATACACCTCGAAGTTCTTGATGGAAGTCATTTCCTTGTTCATGCCTGCAATCTCCTGCTCGCGGTCAAACTCAGTGTCGTACCACAAGACGGGATCGGCTGCGCGAAGTGCTTGAAGCTCTTCTTCACGATCAACATTGGGCTCAATTGGAACGTCAAGTCCATGCTTTGTAGTGACAGAAGCAACAGTCAAGCAAAGAAACAGGAAGTGAATCATCATCTTCAAGAACAGCTCCAATCCGCTGAAGTTTCGTTCCGCTCCTGGAACTGTGTCGGGGGCTGAACGCTTCAAGTCGGAAGTGGATGGTCCGACACGCTGAAACAAGTTGGCGGGTTCATCTACGTCATCAAGCTCTATGTCTTCCGAAGTTCGTTTGGTGCCATGAGATGGTGCCGAAGTTTCAAAAGCAGTGGATGGAGCGTCCGCAACACGAGAAGGCGTCACGGGCGCACCACTTGCAATCTCTGCTGGCGGAGGAGGAAGTATGAGAACATCCGTGTCCTCACCACGACCTTTCGGATCCCAGGGGGATGCCTTGAAGTCCTCAGCCATACGTTGGTCAACTTGTTCCGACACAGGAAGTCGGCGAATGCTCCTGGTTTTGAGCACACCCGAAGTGGTGCCGATCAAGCGCATGTCAGCGGAAGTGTCACGACCAAGCCAAATGGCTTGCACCCAGGAAGGCTCTGCCTTTGAATGCTTGCCAGGAAGTCTACACATGACAATTTCACCGAACTTGCAAAGTTCAGAATTGTATCTCCGCGACCAACGTCGCTCATACGGCGTTAAACCATCAGAGCGAACAGAGAAGTTGTTCAGAAGGAATTGCGCATGCTTCACAAGCCAAGCAAACAACGGAGAAGTGACGGAAAGCTTGAAACCGTACCTAGACGCGAAGTCCTGACGAAGTGCGCGAACCTGAGCGTACAGAAGTTGCTGGGCGTTGCCTACAGCTCCTTGTGCTTGCTTCCACTCTGTTGGAGATTTCCGAAGTGAAAGTCCGCCAAGTTCAGACGTCATGGTTTGCACAACCGTAAGAAGTGCTGGTTCAGGATCCGCTTGCAACGTTCCAAAAGTGCGACCAGTTTCAAGAACAAACCTGCGAAGTTCACCTTCCGCGTAGACAGAATGACCTTTACAAGGGACAACGCACGACAAAGCAAGTCCAGACAAAACATCTCGCACGTTGAGAAGTGTGACATGGTCCTTTGTCTCCGGGTCAGTGATGAACGAGTAATCGCACTGAAGTACAGGTTGCTTCAGCCGAAGTTTCTTCGAATGATCCTGCCGAGACTTGGACTCAACACAAATCTTACACCAACTCCGAAAAGGGAGATGGGTAAGTTCATGCTCAGCACGCTCTTGTGCAGTTGGCTCTTTCGGCACGGGAAGTGACCTAGGAGCTCTTGCGGAAGTGTCTGCTTCAGTATCTGCAGAAGGAAGAGGATCAAAGACCTCTTCCTCTGGTTTGCTGAAAAGAGTCAAGCCAGTCCAAGGTCCACCCATGTCAAGATCACCGAAGTCACCGAAGTGATTGTCATTGTACCATTTAGAAGTGCCATCCTCTTCTGCGATCATGAGTGTCACGCGCTCGGGTCCAATCATGTGAAGTTCCGGGCCACCAACAAGGTCGGTCTCAGTTGGAGTGAACAAGCGAGTCCTCGGCTCGAAGTGATACCTAATCCAACATGAACCTCCATGCGCCCAGAAGTCATGCGAAAAACGAAGTCCTGTCGTTGGATCCGGCTCAGTCATTGAGTCTTGAAGTATTTTTCTCACCTCAGACACATCGTCACCGGCCAGCGCGAGTTTGGATTGCAAAGAAGTCGAGAAGTCTGAAGACAAGTCACGAAACCTGACTTGCTTCGGACCAGAAGTCTCAAGGCTCAACTTGGGCTTTTGCTCTGAAGTGCTTGTGATGACAGGATCTGCTGACACAACCTTTGGCACTGGAAGCGTCGACTGCTTTCCTGTCACACGCTGTGTAGGAACTGGCGAAGTCAAAACGAACTCCGTCCTACCTTTCCAGAACTCGCTCAAGGCTCTCTTGGGATCATCTGAAGTTCTCCAGTTGTCTTTGACAACTTCTTCAGTTTTGTCTTCATACGTGACAAAAGCCCTACGAAGTGAAGCAAGTTTCTCAAGTGCAACCGGCCTGTCTGAAGTACCCTCAGGGGTAAAAAGGTTCTTTCTTGGCCTACGACGGTATCGAACTAAAGTGTGCCTACTAGAGTCGAAGTACCAACGATCATGGTGGTAGTAAATTGGTTTGAAAGAACTAGAAGTCGGCGCAACAAGATTTTCCGGGGTTTTCTCAGTAGAAGTGTTGGTATTTGGTTTGAACTGTTCATGAAAAGTGACACAAACAGCTTCGAAGTTGTTCTTCTCAAATAGTTGAATGGACGGCTGCATGAACAAAAGTGAACCATGTCTGTGAAGTGGCATGGATTGCCCGTTGGGACATTTCATGCACATATGAAGTTCAGACAGTTCAACTGTGCAGAATGCGATCACATCCTTGATGGTCACGAAAGACACTCGGTATGTGCGGCAGAATAATAAAGGCAACAACTTTTTGCTGGCCTTTGCCTTGCACATGAACTACTGCAGGACGAACATGTGAGGCTCCGAAAGAGTTGTGGAGAGTGGAGGAGAGCTTCGGATTAACGAGTCCATCTTGGACCATTAGAGTACCATCATCTTCTATTTGGTAAGCTTCGTATTGGGTACTTCCAATGGGCTGAATGTCAACTTGCCAGGCATCTCTAAGGCTACTCGGAGAGAAGGCACACTGAAAACATCCTTCTTCTTTCCCAAAGGGAAGGATAATGTGTTCCTGAAAGACACGTTGCCGGAAGTTCTCAAGAATAACTCCTGAAGCATAGATAACAAGTACTGATCTTTCTTGAAAGTGATATGGTATATCCATAGACATAAGAATTTCTTGGATGTTGCTTTTGTGTTGCTTGGTGCACGGTCGTACATCAAGGAAGGCAATGGAGCTATGCTTGAAAAATCCGGGCACAATACTGCTGCTCCCCGACTTGCAAAAGAGAGGCATGACTCTTTGCAGCTCTTGCTTTGGCATGCCCGATATTTTAGTGTTAAATTGTTGGTAAATACGTGATAGACCAGTCGCAACTCCTTTCAACTCTACACAAGAGACACGAAAGGTAATGCGGCACCGATCAGTGGCTCCAAGGGTAGCAAGAGAAAGATTCCTGGTACAGCTTTAATGGCATCATGAACCTTAGAGGTGAGGATAGAACTGGCACACAACCAGGTCTCTGCATATTCAAGGCAAGGCGAGATAACTTCAAAGCTTCCAGTGTTGTGCGAAGATTCTAAAACAATAAAGTACAGTAAGTGCTTTTTGTGATCTCTCTCATCTGGCTTGTTTGAGCAAACTCAAAGTTCTTGTACTTACTTACCGTATGAACACGTGAGAGGCGTCGTCGCAAAGAAGCGCAAACCACAACAGTAAGATCAACGCACGTAGCATTTACGAAGCATGAAAGAGACAGACTTGACGAAGGTTATCAGCCTTGTGATAGACAAAGCCTTTGACTCCAAAAAGGACAACAGAGACTGGTTGCGTGCCTGACTTGGTCATACCGGACAAGAGGGGCCCAGATGCCTGGAGGCTGCTACAATGCAGAAACAGAAAGAGCTGGAGAGCGATTTAGTGTTGGATGCGCCGACCGTCACCCATTGCTCGCTGAACCGGTCACTTCTGTTGAAGACAATCCTCTCCCGCGTCCAGAGGAGTGACCAGTAGGGGCGGAGCCGCCCCCAACCGATGAAACCGAAGGAACTGATGAAATCTACCTGGTGCCAGAAGGCAATGGACGCTTCCTGTTTCATCGCAGTCTCCTCAAAGGAGTAGCGCGTACCTTGGAGTATGAGGTGATAGCCAAATGGCTCTTAGCGCGCCTGGCGACTACAATTATGACATAAAGCTGCCTGCTATGTTTGAAAAACCTTGAAATATATTTTTTAGGAATAAAATAGAAAAATAGGAACTGAAAATAGGAAAAACAGAGCACAAAGAGGATGAGTCTCAAACATAGGAAAAGAAAAGACCTAGATTTATAGGAAAGGAAAAAAAGGAAAAGAATGGCAGCACTCTAGGACAAGAACATGAAATGGATACGAAGAGCAAATGACTGGAAGCAACATACTGGAAGCAAATTTCCGTTCATTTTCCTATAAAAATTGATTACTTCATTTCATTTTCTTTTAAACATACTTTTATTTTCCTTTAAAAAGATTATTAACTCCGTTCATTCTCAAAAATAGAATGTCCTTTCATTTTCCTTTAAAAAATGATTAATTCCTTTCATTTTCCTCTGAAAAATGATAAATTCCTTTCATTTTCCTTTTAAATTCCTTTCATTTTCCTTTAAAAAAATCCTTTCACTCTCTTTTCAAAAATTGATTATTTCCTTTAATTTCCTTTGAATTTTAATAAACTCCTGAAAATATATATGTTTTACTCTATTTATTGTTTTTATTCCTATTTTTACTTTTTTGGGGGGGGGGGCCTATTTTTCCTTTTTTTCCTATTTTTTGGGGTTGTCGAAAATCGCCCTATTTTTTCCTATTTTCAATTCCTATTTTTCCTACTCTTTCCTATTTTTAATTTAAAAATATGAAAAAATGAATTAAACATATGAAAAAAAGGAAAAATAGGAATTGAAAAACATAAGAAAAAATATGACGAACTAGGAAAACAAACCCCCCCAAAAAAAAGAAAAAAAAAGAAATAAAAAAAAGGAAAAAAAAGTCAATTTTCTCCCCCCCCCCCCCCCAAAATAGCCAAAAAATATGAATAGAAACAAATAAAATAGACAATGAAATGAATTTACATAAATTTATCATGTTTAATTAAAGAAAAATGAAAGGAATTTATATGCTCAAAGGGAAATTAAAAGAATAGCGGTTAAAAGGAAAATTGAAGGAAGTTTTACTTGTTTAAAGGAAAATGAAAGTGAGTAATCAATTTTTAAGGAAAATGAAAGGACATAATTAGATCTGATCTAATCTAATCTAATCATTCCAATCGAACGCCGGCCTAACTGTGCATTGCCGCACTGCTATTAAATATCCAGTTTCATTCACTTGTGTCTGACCATGCGTCTCATCGGCATGAGCCACCTGCCTTCCGGTAAATATTCGATCCTATTTGTTTCCTATTTCATGTTTGTTCTTGTTTTCTGCCCTATGTTATTCCTATTTTGGGGTCCTATTTTATTCTATTTATTTCCTAAAGATACATATTTTTGAAAACTCCAGAGATAGCAACAGCTTTTTTCATAAGACTACAATCAATCGACAGGGCTGGTACCTTCTCTCTTCCACGAGACACTGCAGGGCTACCAATGCTCAAATACTGCTTTGATCATGGGTATCCATCTTCGGCCACACAGGCAGACCGACCTTATCAAATACCTCACCCGGCATCGCTCTACGAGGAAACTTGGGCAAAATTAGTATATGAACTCACTTTTTTTGCACGGGTGGAGACGCCATGTGTGCAGAGAATGCACAGGTCATCTTGCGCTACTTGAATGGTGAGGGCAAAATTAGTACATGAACTCACTCAAGATTCGTACTACTTAGAGAAGACTGCACGCTTTGTTCATGCTAGGAAAGCCACAGGCATGCAGCAAGAACTACTGGGGAGGCCACTTTGGCGACCCTGGAATCCACTGCGTTTTTGGCGCGTGGTTTTGGGGCCGTCAATGGACAAGATTTTCGCACGCGTCGTGATCCGCTTGGCCGCTTCACATTGTTCCTGATCAACCAGCTGGTCTCTGGAAGCCGGGCGGCGCTGACGCAGGGCCGCACAGGACCAGCTGGAAAAGGGTTTTCCTGGGAAGGGGGGTCTCAAAATGAATGGGGGTCTC